ACAGTGAAAAGGACTCGAGCCTGCTGTCACGGATTTAGAACTTATTCACACGTATTGTTACCCAGGTACAGAAACCAATTTCACAACAACGTCTATCAGCTCAACCAAACATTTGGGGGAAATGCGACGAAATTTAAAAAATATATATATATTTCGTTAAAACAAAAGTGGGGAGCTTCCGAACAAAGTCAGGCGAGGCAGCGGAAATCGAGTGGATATATGTATTTCAGAGAATCTGTGATTTATAATACTCGTAATAACAGAGCAGGTCTTTCGCAGCTCTTCAGGAATGTAATTAGCGGGACCTGCGATCTCAAGCACAAGGGCGCCCGAGCCAGCAGCAGCCTGTGGGCTGACTAATGCATCCTAAATTAATGTCATAAAAGTCAAAAAGGTGTGAATCACAACACTAAGTATTCCATCACAGCAAATATTAAAATAGGGCGGTGTGTGTACATACACGAGGCGCTAAAAACGCGACAAATACTTTCGTATTTCGTTGCTTTTCATACCTTAAGGTAGAGATCTGTTGCGAAGTGAATTTGGATTCGGCAGCGTTAATTGTAACGCTCTGCTAACGAGCGGCCGGTTGTATCAGTGATATCAGCGGACAGGGGCTGAGCTCGCCTCAGCTCCAAAACCTCCGATTTCTCCCCGCGCGGCGGATGGACGCGAAGTCAGATTTTAAAACCCGAGCGCGCATTTTATTTAATTAAAATGGTACAAAAATACAGAAAACAAAACTCAAATATCACAATTTATAGGCCGTATATTTTAATTATTTCATTTTTTAAAAAGTAGCCGCACATTGATACGGTTTTGTTTTTTTTTTTTGGACTCGCAGTCCAATTTTATTTGATCATTCATTTTCTTGAATGAAAAATAAAATCGTCAAAATCGATAAACGGTGAAATCGCCTCGAGTATAAAACAGATTTTGTACTCGGTGTACCCCGCGTCTCCTCGCCCCTTTGCACGGGATACACTCGGGTTTATCCCTGAACTAACTCGAAAAGAACAGAGCGTGATTAAAAAAAGACGACCCGGCTCTTGGTCTTGTATTTGAAGATGAAGTTTTTTATTTCTGGTATCTCGGGTTTGCATTGCGAGAACTTTCAAGGCGTGAAAACGCCCAGCCTGCTCAGAGAGGTTCCGCGCACAAGACAGACATTTAAAGTGAACCCCACGGCTTTGACCCAAAAACCAGGCCTTGTACCCCCGCCCCCCCCATCTCTGACTCTCCGGGGGGCGCATCTGCTTCTGCTCGTCGTGCGGTGTTTGAAACTCCCGGGACGGACAGCCGGCCGGACCGACCCACGCAGCGGCCGGGCAAACATCACCCAGAATAAACCGCCCAGAAATCATGCAGCAGGACGCGCACCTCCGCCGCACACTCAACCCGGAGCAATATTTGCAATGTGTCAGCATTTGCTGGCGTCTCCACAGCAACGGAATTTGCGGCCGCAGCTATGAAAACGGACATTGTTGCCGCTCGCTCCTCGCGGCCGTGTCGCCAACAGAACGTGACGCAAAGCGATGGTTGTCGCTCATTGTTTGCGGCAAAGCTTCTGGCTGGGAGCTGTAATGTCCCGGTGATTGAAGCGGCGGTGTTTAAACCGCCGGCACAAAGGCCCTTAAAGTTCTGTGACAGGCGTGAAGCGCCCCCGCCGGGAGCAGGGACTGGGGGCACCCAGGCCGCCTCGGCCCGCAGACAGCGCGCTGCGCTCTCGGCCTCATCCGCCTGCGTCTGCACGGCGCTCCACCTGAAACAGTTGGTACAAGGCCGACGGGCACCTTAATGATACTGAATGAAAAAATGCATAAATGATTATGACGTGTAGTATTAAAACCACGCCGCAGCTATTGTAACAACGATCCTATTTGAATTACTCCTGATAATGTAGTTCAAATTGCATTTGACCCCTACTGCTCTGTCTACTCCCCTGATGCCGACGTGTTTCTCTCACGCCAGTGGGAATGAGCCGTTGGCCGAGTCCGGCCGGGGAGTCTGCATCTGCCCGGTGCTCCGGCCGGGCCGCGTCGGACAGGACCGCCTCCAGAGACCTCACCGAGCCCAACGCGCAGGGCGAAAACTCGGCTTTCAGTCCTCATTCTGCTCGGAATCTCGTCACGCACCGAGGTAAAACACGTTTCAAAGGACGCAAAACGAAAAACCCGAGCGCTCCACTGGTTTGTGTAACTAGCTGCCAGTTTCTGGAGAAGCTACAGGGTGCAGAATTCACAGCAACTTCCTAAACTCGGTACAGGCCCAACTCGGTCTACTGCAAAATACACCCGGCTCTGGCCGCTAACCATCTCCCCTTGAAAGCGGCGCCGCTACGCGCAGACACATTTATTCACCATGCTAAGAGATGTGAAACAATAGATTGCTCAGAATATCTACCAACCATTACGCTTAAAAAAAATAAAACCAAACCGGCGATGCGATATTAACACCAACACTGGCAGCCGCGACAGGAATTAATAATTCTGCTTCTTTCTTTCTTTTCTTTATTTCTCGATGGACGGCTTCATTACAGAAGACAAAAACTATTCAGAGGATTTTTTTTTAATTAAAGAAATTAAGAGATTGTGGGGATGTGACATCTAAAATAATTCTTAGGGGAAAGGCGATTTTGTGTCGCCCACCTTCACAGAACTGAATAATAATAATAATAATAATAATAATAATAATAATAATAATAATAATAATAATAATAATAATAATAATAATAATAATTATAATAATAGCTTTTATTTAAAATAATTATATTTTATATAATTATATAATTAAAATCATAATTATATAAACATCTAAATATGCTATGCGTCACAAATTTTTTATTTACTGTGCAAAACAAAACAAGACGAATTTTCACTTGGGCATTTTAGAGAGTTTGTTTAAACTTGGAACGTAACCTTGTAAAAAGCGTTTTATACCAACGAATTACAGGAATTAAAAGCACAGCATCCCTCTGCGCTATCTGTTGCTCGGAACATGAAGCGTTTCAGCTGGCGGCCGAATAGCTGTCCAAGCGTCAGCAAAACACAAAGGAAACTACAAGGATCTAAGCAACTGATGCAACTTGTGTATCTGGCCCATACATTACAATTCGTAATCAATACGGGTGGGTGTAAAATCACAAACTCGCATCTTTCCCAGCGATTCAAAATATACAATTATTATTCCTTACGAAAAAAAACACCCAAACTGCCCTGCGATGACCCTGAATATCTCGTCGATTCTCATTAAATTATTTGTTGATGTCCACAGACTGTATGGTCAATCAAAGCAGTCAGTCTGTCTTCCGTCAGTCGCCGTATCTGTGCCGGGTCGGACACCATTGTTAACTTGTCTCAGGGCCGCGACTCCGCGTTTGTGCAATGATCTCATGGTGAATTATTGAAAGAATTAAAGGGAATCGCTTATCGGGTTTTTTTTTTCTAAAGTAAATATGGAAAAAAAAATCTCAAAAAGAAACAGGCAAGCAAATACCACGTCATTCGATATATTTCATATACCACATAAATGTAATATTTTTTTAAAAGGGTCTATTTCTGAACTGACGTTTTCATATCGTGCAGCGCTTTTGGCTAAATAAATACGCACTGACCTACAATTTCCATACTGTGGATTTATTCTGTAACCATCAAGATACATAACTCAGCACCTAAGCCAACACTGAAAATATATTTGCATTGTTTAAATTTATAGTCGTATATAAATTAGTGTTGAATTTAATGCTTCTGTGATTTCTTTTGAGCTCCCTTTTTCCCCCCTCTTCCGTTTGTGACGCCCACGACCTCTGCTCTGCAGCCGCTCCCCAGAAAGGGTCGGTGAGCAGTCGGAGCTGCTGCGGTCACAGATGATCGAACAGCGGATCCACCGAGTCGCGCTGGATCCCTCCGATACAAAGGAGCCGAGAGCTCCCGGCCCCAGAAAAAACACCCAGCCCGCGCCCAAGACCCAACTCACGTTTTATTTTAAGGCTTTCCTTGTGAATTCTTTAAAGACGAATGCAAAATATATCAATGAATATATTTTCGTTTAGCACTGCCAGAGAGGAAAATATTTAGGCCTTGCAAAAAAAAAAAGATGATCGTGTTATTACTGAGAAACCGGGAGAAAAGCAGGGCTTTTTTTTTTTTGTAACAGTGGTTTCATAACAGCACTTGGGTGAATTTGCACCTCCAAGCTGCGGAGAATCGTTTCCAGGACGAAAAGTCCTACCAGATTTTATGAACTGCGAAATTATTAAATAAGAGCAAAGTCTTGGCGTGACTTTTCCAACGACCTACAGAAACGAAAGGGCGCGACAGCGAACCTCTGATCCTTTTTAAAAAGCGACTGGAAAAAGCGAGCAGGACAGCGAACAAGCAAGAAAGTAGTATCATAATTCATGATTCGGTCCGTCAAACACAGACTTGTGATAAGCTAGGGTCATTTATGCGTTTCCTCTTCGTCGTTTTAACTAAAGATTGCAAGTCCAAGAAGATCTAAACACTTATATTTTGCATTTTATTTTCGAATCGTGGCCTCATTCCGAACGACTGAATATAACAAAGGAAAAGATCAGCTAAAGACCCGAGACCATAAGACTACGTATTGAAGTCAAACCCATCCTTTCCCCTTGATAATAAATTCATTTGGCTTCTTTCACACCACTTAAAACACACTCTGCCTGCGATGAGATCAAAAACTGTGGAAGCAACGGTTTGAACAATTCCAAGCTCCCGTAAATTCACTTCAAAAGCAAAGGAACATGGAAAAAAAAGCTGCCCGTACAAATAAAAAGGTTTTTTTATATATATATACAGAAACGAAATAAACATCAGTCTATCCCGAGAAAAAGACAGCCGAAACGAAGCAGTCAGGGCCGTTCACTCAACGCCAGTTCCAGCCCGAGTTTCTTTTTAAAACCAGCAACTGAGCGCACGGAGGGGCATGCACACATTTTGAAAACACATCTGACAGAATCACGGAAAAGCCGCCGTCCTTACTGTTGGTAGTCGTGCTTGCAGTAGAGTTTCCTATCCCGGAAGTAGCAGCTCGTGGTGAGGGGCTGTTGACACACGGCGCACTGCAGACAGTCCTCGTGCCAGGACGACTCGTTGACGCGCATCAGAAAGCGGTCGGAGATGGGCCGCTGGCAGCCCTCGCACACCGCCGGGTGAGGGCACTCCGTCCCTGCCGGGCACACACACAGCACCTTACACCGGGGCGGGCAGAAGCACAGCATTCCCCAGGAGCTGGCGCAGCCGGGCTTGGGGCGAAACAACCCGAGCGAGGCCTTCTGCCGTTCTGTAAAACCCAGTTTCCCCTCTTTTTGAACAATTTAACAACCTGTGTGTGTGGGGGGGTGGGGGTGGGGGTGGACGTTTCATAATATTCAGTTGACATGTCGCAGTGAATAAACATTCTCACAAAGAGAGCTCATTTCTGGAATGGGTTTACACAACGCCTAATGCGTGAAATCGCACGCACGGATTATCTTGCATAGGTGCAATTTCAGGTGCCGCCGCGGCTTCGAGTGGCTGGATGTATTTAAATCCATTTTGGCCCCCGAGGTAGCGAACTTCAAACCACAGAAATATTCCACGGGTGGCTGCCGACGGGGCAGCACAATGCCACGACAGAGTGAGCCTCTCCTGTCCATGCTTACGTGTGCCCTGTGCAATATTCGAGCGAAACTGTTTCTAAAAACAGCTGCCCGTCATTTAAACTGAATTTAAACTGAGCCTGGACATGTTCGCCTCGTAGCAGCGGTTTGTCCTTTTGACGTTAAAGTCGGCAAAGTCTTCACAGCTCCGAGTCCCAGTTCAGGGGTGCAGTTAAATGTCAGAGCTGGACGGATTCTGGTCGGAATCAGCCTACAGCGTTAGCTGCTCTCCTGCACCCTAATTCAATAAGTGCCGTTCGCTCGTGCTGTACATCGGCGGCGGGTGGCCGTGGAAAGACACGGCGGAACCAGCCTCTCACCCACTTCCCCGTCCTCTAAAAAGTGCGAAAGGAAAACAAAAACATCTAAACGGTGCCTGAGTGTATGCTTGCGGGTCGTGACTGCGCTTACAAAACCGAGGAAGGCAAGACGAGGGCTTACCGAGCAGAACTCCCAGCGTAGCCTGTCCTGATCTTAAGGGATGGTCTTCTAGTTTTATACCGTCCAACATCTTTGAGCAATCGGACTGATTCCTCGCAGAAAAGCACCTTTCCAGCGACTCGGGACCTGTTGCAACATCCATAACAACGTAGAGTCACAGACCTGCCTTCTTTTCCAAACCCCACTTTAAAGACACGCTGCACTACTGGTAGAGACTGCGATAAAACCAAGAAAGTGTTTTTTCCCCCTATTTGTGCCGCTGTGCAGTGTACGGGGTGTTTTAGAATTGTTGCTGCTGTTGTTGCTACTTTAGAGAAGCAGATACAGGGAACCGCACCACAGCGTAATCGAAAATTGTAGTATTTAAAAAAAAATACAAAACAGAAGGTTTGCAAAACAGCGCCTGGGTTCGTCACCTGCTTAATTTAAAGTTTGTCAGAGGTTTAAGTTTCCTACGGCAGAGCAGCGATGGACAGTCTGCGGCGCCGCTCCGGGACAGGAGTTGCCGTTCAATCCTCCTCTCTCTGAACTGTTGCAGGGAGGTGAAAATTAACGAGCAGCTGCAGTAAATCCGGGCAAGTCGAGCCGAAAGGTTCCAAAGTGGGCTCCGAAGTCAATGTGCCATGCAGAGCCCCACTGCTCGAGCAGTCCGGGGCCGAGATTGAGGCGAACGAATACGCCCTCCCCTCCTCCGGACGCGTCACTTCTTAGACTGTTTACTGACATTTGGACGCGATTGGTGCGCCGTGTTCGTGCGCTCCGTCGAGTAACTCCAGCGTTCCGCCTCCTAAGCGTCAACTAGTGCCAGCTGCCTCCAGACCAGACGACGAGCTCTTGCGAAGAGAGGAGAGGGCAACTTTCATGCACGCAGGCCATCGTTTTATGAAATTTAAAATTGTTTCGAAGTGAAAAGGACTCGTCTTCTAGGAGCACAACACCAGCCCGCCTCGTAGTTCACGCTCAGCTGCTGTGGAGCTGTTTGCTAATTGACTGCACAAAGAAACGTGTCTCAATGCATTATAAAACTAAATTATAGCGCCGTTTACGATGGGATTTTACCCATTTGAAAATGTTCAGATTTTATTAGATAATTTAATTCGCGAAACTGTTAAAAACGGACGGTCGATCCGTCTTTTTTAAACCCCAATTGCTTGTCGTGTGGTGTGAAAGCTTTTGTTGTGTATTCTGGGACTGGTTCGGATGGCCCTGCCTCAACATTTTCTTCTCTGTCGTGAGATTAAAAACGGGGGAGATATGATTCTTCAGTTGTAGATCTGCAAATACCCTTTCTGCATGACGCATTCGCGTAGATCATTTAGTGTATCAGTGTAGTGCATCATTTCTAAAAAAAAAAAATCTGTTTGATTTGCTGTATTCCAGAGTCAGGGCGCCCGGGTAGTTAATGTTGTGTGCTTATTAAGACAAGTTCTGATCACGCCGGCACTGACAACACAATCGTTTAAACCGGTGTGGGAAAAGAGCTCAAAACCCAAATCCGGTGAGCCTGTAACGAAACTATTATGTTGTCAAGACACAATTCGCCGGACAAAACACAACGATCAGCCCTTCATATTTCCACGCACGAAAAGATCGTCCTTTGAAATGAACGCGATGAAAGCCCCTCTCCAGCGCCGCGCCGCCAGCACGCTTTGAGATATTGTATCTGTGACAGTGCCTCCAGCCTATGACCCCTCTGTGGGCATGCACACACGCACCTGGCGATGGTGGGCCGATAAACACACAGCAGCCCAGACTCCCGCTCCAGAGACACAGGGCAGGCGGTCGCTCTCGCCGCCTCACCACCGGCGCTACAGACCGCTGCCTTTGCTTCGCTAATAAATTCATTGATCAGACACGAGATATCATTGAGCTTAAAATGAAACAATTTATCATTCGTCTCCCCCTCCCTGTTTCTCCCGGATACTGTATCTCTAGCGTGTTACAAGAAAGATATTTGAAATTCATAAGGAAACAGCTCTTTTTTTCTCTCTTTGGCTGTGTTCAAATTCATTTCGGAGATATCCATCTCAGCCCCGTCTTATTTTATCGAGCGGTAGGGGCGGCTGTTTGTCTCCGTTTTATTACTTTTCATCACGGATCCCTCTCTTTCTTTTTAATTAAAAGCCCGAGAAGGAGAAATAAAAAGATGGAGGTTAAACAAATTACATTTTTATCTGTTTGTAATGCGGATTGCAACAATCGAAACCGAATTTGTTTGGGGGTAAACAATGAAGACAAACAAATATGGAGCGACCAGACGTTTCCTTTCAAAAAGACGACCGAAACAATATTTTGGGAGCACAGCGACGGGAAACAGGGTGTCGTTGAAGACGCACGCCTGGGTTGTGTGTCGGTCATATTTACCGCCCGCAGTCGAACATAACTGAATAAATATTTTCCAGAAAGATTTAGCCACGAGTCCCACCCGCCCTCTCCGAATACAGGTAGATGTATAAACAGGTAATGGAAACGCGGGCATTCAGCAGTCCTATTATTGTGTTATTATTGTGTTTTGAGTGCCCACTGATGTATCGCCTTATAAGTATTAATTATATAGGAGCAGCAGCTTCTGGCCTGGTGTCTAAAGCGCTCTAATGAATTAACGACACCGCTGTCCCTTTCATCTTCGCCCAAGTTTATTAACTGCACGTGTCTTCAGCTGCTGGGACCAAGGGCCAGATCTCGTCGGAACCCGAAGGCGAAGCAAACAAGCCCTTTTCAAAGAGATAATTAAGACCTGGGAGGGGGGAAAAAAAAAGTTAATTTCTTCTTTAAAACCCTTTTCTTGCTCTCCTTTCATCTTACAAGAAGCGCATTTCCTTGGTTAACGTCTTCTCGCTGTCGGTTCCCAGTGCCGCGAATAACGCGTGGGTTTGGAGGACATCCGCGAAACGGCCAAGGTGCTGGTAAGTTAACGATTTTAATTAACACGAATTATTCCTTGAAATCGGTAATATCGATAATATTTAGACAATTCACAATTAAAATAAAAACGGAGTTTTTTTTTTCAGTAGTAGACTACGCCGTGTAATACTTTAATGTTGAAGACAATGAGACAGACACGAGAATCGAATTATTCTTGACGACAACATGAGTAGCTGACCTGATACCTCCCTAACGGCGAAGCTGCTGGTATGAGCGACATAACTGCGTAAATGTGCGACAACGAAACGTTTGCATTTCTGCCGTAAAATGCAAAAATAATTTAAAAAAAAACCATACGAAGAGAGAACTTCTTTCAGATCCGGCTGTCGGCGAGGTGCACAGCCAGCGCGCATGCAGGCATTCGATTATTTGAAGCGCAGATAAAAGGACAAAGCTGGGATTGTTCTTGTGCGGTTCAAGCAGAAAGCGCTCCTGAGCCTCTAATTATAGGGACCGGTATAGGGGTTTGTCTTCTCCAGGCGTGCCGCTCCACTCCCAGCTCTCCAGAGACCCTGCTTCAAGGAACTATGGAGGCAGCCAGCAAGTGAAACACCTTTTCTTCAGCGCTGTAACTAACCCCTCTTGCTTCAGCTCATTAGCTCCGTCCCTGCTGTAAATTCTTGCGCCATTCGTCTCTATTCTCGTCTCTAGTTTCCTGCTCCCTTCACGGGTCCGGCTCGGGCAGGCCGCTCTGTGGGGTCGGTGTCGTGAACGCCGCTTAGACCCCAGCCTGATCAGGCATGAAATCGCGGGAGGAACCCGGACCGGGTTTAGCGATCTGATGAAGTCAGAAACCAGAATTGCCTCTCGCAAAAAAAAAACAACAACACAGAACAAATTTGGTGTATAGCAAACACAACTTTATAATTCGATAGCCTCTAAATGAAACACTCAAAACCAATTAACCTGTATGGGCCCTGGACAGAACTAGATTGCATGGATTGTAAAAGCACTGGGATATTAATCCTTTTGTATTGCAGGCTGTTTGACACGGCTGTTGAAATTTCAAACAAACATCGAAACGGAGTACCAGCCCCTGAGCACAAGAATACCGCGGTATTACCCGCCTTCGTCTCGACTGGGTCTTATTATTCTTCGGGTTTGCGGGAGGGCCGAGCGCACTGTGCCCACAGTCCCGACACAGAGATCCGTCGGGGAAGACGGCTGAGAGACCCGGGTTCTACCGCTGGCGAGGAACACGACAGGACGAGCTGTGGGGCTTGTACAAAAAAAAAACGTTTCTAGTAAATAGTTCTTAATAAAACACTAAACAAAAAAAGTTTAAGTTTTTTTTTCGTTTTACGTTTAGAAAATAGAAAAGGCTGTGCTCTTGCAACGAGATCACCCGATTAAAAATGAAATCTGAGCAACGGGCAACTTCAGGGAACCCGGTGCAGTTTGTGTGCCAGAACTAGACACATGTACAGTATGTATACATCACAGGACGTCTTGCTGTCACCAGTGATGTCTCCCTGTTATTTATAGAGCTCTTAATATAATGAATATCTTTCATCAAAAGTGGTACAGAAATGAATGATTTTATCACGCGCGATCTCGGAGATTATAAACGTTACTGTATCCAGAATAGGACATTTGTAATTGTGAGGAAATAACATAAACGACAAAATAAGTACCTTCTTAAATTATGATAATAATACACGGCAAAGGGTCGAGTGGGTATTGTATTTTTCCATAAAAACGAATTAAAATATAAATGTGGATTTTTTTTTCCCCTTTGAATGACTGGTCTTGTAAATTCGCACCTATATTCTTGCACATAAAACATTTAAACTCCACACGGCGCTGTAACACGTTTGATGTTGCAATATGCACATTATTTTTCCGCAGCGCCGGGGACCACCACAGCCACAGCAACGACAAGAAAATAGATGGACACGCGTACAGAACATATATAATGTGCGGGAGCGCGCAAGGAAACGAACAAGTTTACCGGAGGAAAACGCCAATTCAATTCGACTCGCTGGGTTTTAAACACAGGAGGAAATCGTTGAGCAATACGGTTCGCAGTTATGAAGAGTCAGTGTACGCAGGTGGTCGTTATTATTATTTTTATTATTATATAATAATATTTTATTATATAATCATTGTTTTATTATATGATAATAATAAATAATAATAATCATTATTATTATGGTTGGTGGTGTTGTTGTTGTTATAAGACTGGCGTGCAGACACAAATGAAACGTTTATATCATATTCATTTTTCTCTATATCAGTAGGTTCAAAATATAAGAAGAACAGCGTTTCTCGGAGACTCACAGAAGGAGCTGAAGGCTGATCTCACATTACCTCGCATCCATAAGCCTGCTGGAGTCCCTTTGTACTGCTGCGGCGAGCTGCTGCTCCAGATTCCAGCCGGGAGCCGGCGGGCTGGAGGCTCCTTGGACTTGCGTCTCACGCCCTCTTACGTGCGAGGCGGGGAACTGCAGCAGGTGGCGTTTGTTTCCGCGTGTGGAGCAGAATGAGATCTCACGAGCACATCTGCAGGAGGAAGGCAGCGAGCAGCTGACTGAACCGCGTTCCGTGATCCCGTGACGTGTGTGCGGGACAGTGAACAGGGCGGCCGACCGTTTAATCAGTACAGTGATAGACAAGGAATCACAGGAAACAATCGCAAAAAAAAAACAATGCTTGTATTAAGGTTTTTAAAAGTAGCGTTTGTGGTGGGTCTCTACTCTGGTACCATAAAAGAGTTGTGTACAATGTATGATGGGTGCATCGATATCTTCCCGTATGCAGTCTGGTCACTGTTATATCGTGCTTATCTGCCCGTCCAGTGCGTTATGGAGCTGTGATGTGGGGTACGGGAAATTGAACTATACAGTGTCCTCGCCTGACTTGAATTCAATTTTCGCGCGCGTGTCCTGGATCCTGCACTTCTCCGTCCCGGTTCCCAGTTCGTCCACGTGCGTCCTCGCGTCCTGCGTGGTCGTGATGTCATTGCAGTCGCCGCTGGAACGTGCGCGCCCGGCCCCCCCCCCCCAGAACAGCACGTGGACGCGACCCCATCCGTTCGCACCGCGGTGGACATTTCCACAAGGACGCCAAGCCCGAGCGTGCATTTCATTCATATAAAAACACGTGCTTTGCACGTACTGGGGCCCACTGGTTACATCACACGTCATCTTGTTTGCCGTCACAGAACCGGTCTGGGTGAGCGAATAACGTCGTGACGACATATTACACGCCTAACCCCACGGCGGAGGTCACCGTGAAGAGTGTCCCGTGGGGACAGGCCGAACTTCAGGACTCTGGAGCGAGTGTGTTTCCCAAGGACCCCTAATGGAGTCCGACAAGCAAGGGAGAGTCAAATGAGTTCAAAGCACTGTTCATCTAGAGGCTGTCTAGGCCGTGGAAAATCAGACACAGGCAGAGCTCGCTTCTAACAACCCACTTAGCCGTGGCGCTCGGTTCAATAAAAGCCGGA